GAAGTGAGCCATGATTCAAGCAACTCATGGCTCACACTATTGTTACCTATAGCGAGAATTTCGGTCTCATTTAATTTGAATGTGTGGCCGAGTCTATTCGAATGAGTCACGACTTGAGTATTGTGCCATTTCGCCGCACTGCTGCCGCAGGTTCGGAAATTCGCGTTTTGAGAAGTCTTCGAGTTTTTCGGACGTAGATTCTGTGTCCGCAACTGCGCCACATCCTATATACGACTCCAGATATTTCTTGCAGGCAGTGAGTTTCATTACCTTAAGTCTTATGGTTGCCTTCGGCCTGTGTGCAACTCCGACTCCAAGTGGTGGGAGAAGGCAGCCGCCGGGCTCTTAGAAGCTTTTGACGTACGGAATCGCTCGCCAAATGTTGCGCTCGGTGCGATTTTGTCGCTCATCTCGTTTTTACATGCACCGGTTGACGAATTTGCGCGGGTGGCAATTTCCTCCGAACACCTGTCGAAGATACTGCAGCGCAGGAACTTTGTTATCCGGTTCACTGCAGTGCATTTTGACGAATGAATACTGCAACTTCCTGTGTATGAATTACCCATTTTTGCTACTGTCTATGATGATGATGATGAGGAGGAGGAGGAAGTTCTTGCCCCAATTCTTTTCAATTACTTCCTGGGACTCATATTTTCATTTGTATTCTGGAATTAGTACTCGTCGCCAGCTGGCTATACTGAACCCCAGGTTCTTTGGATAACATTGGATTATGACATTACCGATGAAGATCAGCAATTCATCGTCAGTCCGTTACATTGACATGGGGAATTAAATCGTCCTGCACACCTCCCCGTCACCCTTCCCCGCTCCCAACCTCAAGGTCCTCAAAACGCCGGCACTGCCATGTACGAAGCGTAGAAACGAAGAGTATAACTATAACCATTCCTCCCCCCCTCGAGAACTATATAAAAACTACGTAACTTACGATTTACATTTTCCGTGTCATTATTAATATTAGCCGTTATCAGCTAGCCATGTCCAACCTACGACCTATTGGTTAGAAGTCCAGTCCTGATGATGGAGTGACGGAGGGTCGATCGGGTGACGGGAGGAGCGACCGCTCACGGCGCTACGGGAATTACTCGTTCCATTGGAATGCGAGCTTCAGTCTCTTGGTAAGTGAGGATAAAGGGTAGACTGCTTGGATTTCGGTCCGTCTTCTTTCAGTCGATCACAATCCTAACCACCCAGGGGGACTAGAAGCACAAAATAGACAGGCACGCATAGCCCAGGCGGCCCAAACATGGGCTCTAACAGATGACTTGGTTGACACGCGACTCCACTTGTATTTAACTTTACTTCGCAAATTCTGGTGCACAGCAATTCGGATATAACTTAGCGTCTAGACATATATCTATAATCACTTGGTCGGCCGTA